AATTAAATAAAAAATATAAATAAATCATATTTCAAACTGACAAATAAACAGACATATTTAATTACATATATAAATGTGTAATTAAATATTAACATATCAATTCATTACTTTTTTAAATGAATGTTTATAAATAAATAAATATTTATTTTTTTAAGTAGTCCTCCACAGTATGCATCAAAATATTGAACTTGGACAGACAACAAAAGTTGTGCAAAAACAATGGCATTGTTGAGGATCCACAACGGTTTAAATTAAAAACAATTATAGCTATCTTGTTTATTTTTTCTAAATCCTCGATCACGATGGCAACAGCCTGTGATTCATTTCAAATCGCAAATTCACGTGCAGTGACTAACAAACCCACCGAAGCCTTGGTACTGTAACTGTATTAGCTATGGAATGTTTTCATATTGGTCAGCCAGGATTTATAGTCCTTCTGCAAACACTGTATACTACAAGCATAATCTCATGCATTCGTGATGACTACGCGGAGGTCACTAGACTGTGCTCTGGCCAGATTCCCACGTGGAATCCTGCTCCAGCGTGCTATTAAAAGAATGCACTTTTATGAGAGGAAAATATTCTGTTCCAAGGGAAAGCTACGCATGTGTTTCTGCACACAAGGATCTTTGATGTGGATGTCTGTGGGAGTGCACTTGAACCACGAGTGCATCATGGTCTGGAGGAACGCCCCATGTGTGCAGAGGGATGTGTGTGTGTGTGTGTGTGTAAGGAGAACTTTTGAAAATGGAGATGGGAATTCCCTGCTACGCTCTCCTACACAAGACCCCTGCGAGTGCTCAACCCCTTTTAAGGACAAAATAAAAGGACTGTGTTCACAAAATGAGTCCCTTTCAGAGCCCTTGTGACGGCAATCCCACAATTCCAAGCAAACAGCAAATTATAAACAGAAAACTTGCTTTCGGTGTTCTCTGGATTCAATTTTCAGTCAAATCATAAGAGGCTTTCAACTGCATGTGTCCTCAGGGATGTGACTCAGTGTCATGTTTTGGTGGGAGGGGAAAAGACATGCGAAAAAATAATGCGAAAGGGTGGCGATGGATGCAGGGGGGTCGTTTTTTGAAAGCTGAGTGTATCATCAGGTGACCCAGTCGACTTTTCTTTCAGGGAAAGCTGCTATGCAAGGCATCGCCCAACGCCCAGGAAAAATTTCACTAAGAATGTTAGGTGTGCAGTCTTTGCTCAAAAACAGGAAACTGTTAATATTTCCTCTATAAAAAAAAGACCTTACTTTGACAGCTCGTCACCACATGGGAGTTACCACAGCATTATGCCCGTCCAAATGAGAGCAACGGGCAATTATTGCATGCACGGATTTCACAAACTTGTGCCACAGTCCCAACATTTCACATTGAAGAGACAGCTGCTGCTCCAGTGATAATTGTTTCCACCCTGATGGAAAATCCAGCTTAAGCTGGTAGCTGTGGATCTTCTAGCTGTGCTAGAACTAATTTGACTACTGGTATGACCAGCTGGTCTATGAGGCAGAACAAGCTTAGATATCAACTGCTGCTCCAAAACACCTAAGAAAGCCTGGTAGGGACACCAGCACATCAGTATCATATAGTAGAGTCCAGGTGAGACTGAATGCAAGTGCGTTTAAAAGTAAATTTAAGGTTTTGCAAGTTCTATAACAGGATTTGAAAGACAGCTGCTGCTTGCAATAATTGTTTCCAGTGCCACCATGACAAACTGACCAGTGACTCATCGCCTTTGTTATGAAGCCAAACTTTCTGTTGAGTTATAATGCCAAACTATAAGGATATGCATAAACTATAATGCTCTTTGAAGACGTTTTATTAAGTTTAATATAACAAAGCATAACATTTAATAGTTATGATATATATATATATATATATATATATAGTTAGTAATAACTTAGTAATAGTTATGATAATTATAATACAACTAATTATTAATAAATTACATTATATAATATATTTATTCTAATATATACTAAAATAATTACGTATGAAAAGTTGCATGCAGTTGTTTCATGTTACATTGTACTAATTATAAATGCATTTAAAGTGACTGGCCAAAGAAAAAAAGTTGCATAAAGCAGAAAAATTAAGTGAATGACCTACCTTCACCACATCGTCATTTAAATGTTTTGGGTCCCGGTTGACCAGGTCAATCTCCTTGGTGTGGACATCCCGAAGTGTCTTTTCGTTGATGCTGTCGTTATCCATTTCTTTATTATTTGGTTTGTAAATGTTCCCCTGTTTCCTGATGAACGGTGAGTGAGCGTATTCCTGCGGTTCCAAAGAAAACAGAAAATGAAGTTCATGAGCGCGGAGGGGAGACTGGGGCTCAACTCAGCACAGCCCTGGCATGGGATGGTTTTAAGCGGATAGAAATGAAGCACCACACCCCTCTGGAACACAGCAGAGCGACCCGCCGCAGGGCGGCGCCATTTTATACACCGCGCGTGCGTTGCTCTTATTCCGCAGCAGAAAATATATAAGAATAGAAATCCACCCACAACTGAAATATCAAACTTTTAGGACGTGTTTTAAATATATTAGTTATTCCGAATAAAAAAATTGCATTGCGCTTCGTCAACATGCGCTGCAAACTTGCAAATTATTCCACCTATGGATAGTGAGCAGTTCATTTACCTAATATTCGTATTCCATCAAATTGTGTTTGCACAAAGTGTGCACAAAGTAAACAAGGGAGGCTTGCCGAACAAATACGTGCCAGTAAAAGATAAGACCTCACATTATATCCAACATGCGCGAAAACAAATGGAGCAAGTGCCAGCACACCGCCTTCATGATAAACCCCTAAAAGTGTTTGAGTAATAAGTTGCACAATGAATTGGCATCAAAAATAAAAGATTTCCGAGGTAAAATAGTTGTAATTCTTACCTCTTCAGGTGTCCCGTCCTTGTATCCGCTAGTCATGCTGTCCTGTGAGTGACTGAAGTACGATCAGATGAGTGTGTGTGGAAACAAGACAATCAGTACAGAGGAAGCAGTGTGGGAGGCGTGGGGAGATTACTTTGGGGAGTCCTCTTCCTTACAACAGCCCTCTTTTTTGCCAACTGAAGTCCCATAAAACTTTATCTATGAAATGTTTTTATCTCTCCTTCAACCTCGATCTCGTGGCATCTGTGGGAGTTTCTCTCAGTCACTGAGGACATGCTTGTGTTCAATGAATGAAACCTTCCATTAGCCTGCCACTCACAGAACTACGCAGTATTAGTGGTTGGAGATTTTGACGTGATTTTTCCCGAATGGGAGGCATATTTGGGCACTGTACCATATTTTCCTGCACGATCGTGTAGCTACACTAAACATCCACATCCACTCGCGTTAGAGCAAGGGTAACACAAATTGGGGGGAATTAATGGTAATAGGGACACTTTTTGCCATTGAAATTAAAAAGTGTCCCAATCAACCTGAATTCAGAAGTATGAGGATTATGTAGGCCTATGACCAAAATCAATTGGTAAAAAAACCAAACTATATTTCACCAAAGTAGCCATCCTATCTTTCACAGCTATATTATGCATGAGGTGCATGTTATGTTTTTTAAACCAATTGAGAATGCTGAACACTTATTGGCTACTATTTTAGTTTTAGTTTAAAGTTTTAGCTTTGTAAAGAAATTCTTTCTTGACTTGAAATTTATAAACCTGAAAATGTGACTCTAAGGTCGGTTTGCATACCAAAATACACCTCAAGGCAAAACTTGCACTTTAGTTTGGAATGTTTTCAACAATAATGCAGTTGTTTACTCTGGTTTTTTCTCAAATTTTTGTAACTTATGATACTTATTAGGCTTTAACAATCATTTACTTTACATATCTATACATCTTTTAGTGTCCATTTATTGTACATTTGTGTATCTAGTTCAGGTGCTGGGATGTGCAGGCAATGCAAAATATGCAAACAATGACGAGATAGCGGCCAAAGGTCGCTGTTGCTCAGGTAAAAAAGTAGCATGTTTTAAATCTGTTTAAACCTTTATATAATGTTTTTAATTAATTATTACTTTATATTAAATAAATGTCTCCATGAATGACAAAAAATCCTCATAGTAAACCTATTATTCTACAAAATCAGAATGCAGATTGAGACATTTAATAAAACCCATCTGTTAAGAACTCAACACAGACCCTTCTCTAAAAACATACACTTTTAAAGCGGGTCCACCGTTATCCGGCGTATCTGCTGCATTGAACATGACCCGCGAAGGGTTTTTCACATTGCACAAGATGTTAAATCTTGTCAGGTTAACATGTGCCACACAGTGATCTTCATGGTATGGTTTCTCAGCAAAGAAAACAGTCCATTCAAATTCCAAAAATAATTTTATTTGTGAACTGAAAGGCATTTAGTTCTGTCTTTCATAAGCTGAGCTGTGTTCAAGATGTTTGCTACATGACATCATTCAACAGGGGTGAGGAAACGGCACCTGAGCCTCTAATGTTCCATTGCACAGTCAAATATTCCATTTACTCTGCGGAGCCACTACTAACAAAGCACAATCAATGGCAAACAGCATGTCAAATGTGGCTTTGCAAGTCAAACTAATCGCCATTTGGGCTCTACCTTATCATTCCAAAAAGAAGTCATTAACACAGAAGAAAACGTGATATTTGTATAGAATGCTCTCTATAGTAGGAATGTACCTGAAAATCATAAATAGTTTTTACACTGAAATTCCATCAAATCATCTAATTTACTCTTGTTGATAAAAATCGATCAACTCCAAACAATATAAATATTAACTCAGAAATAAATCGCACAATACTACAACCCTATTGGAAGTAGATGCATCATTTTTTCCTTACAAGCACATCATGTGCTTATTGCAATGTCATATTACATGCAGTAGCACACTATCTTATCCTTAAGTTAAAAATCTCAATCATTACAATAAAATCTTTAAAAAGTCACAAAAGCTTAATTAGACTTACATAACAGTATTGAAAAAGCATGTCAACACTGACATGTCCTCCTCGCCCATTACGAGGAGGACATGTCAGTGGCTAAAAAAACGGAATGAATATTTCAATTGTCTACTGAAATTAAAGAAAAGCTCTTTCTCTTCTCTTTCCTTCAGAAGTCAAGGAAAACTTATCCTTCAGCTAATAACCCTCAAAAAGGAGGCCAGAAGAACACGACAGAAAGATTCTGCAACACTTCTATGCGGAGTTAGATTTGGACAGACTTGCTCAGTTTTGCACAGTCTTGATATTGATGGATGACAAGCACCGTCCAATGCTGAAGAAGAAAGGCCCTATAAACATGTCCATCAAGCTGGTCCAGATCACTTGGATGGAGGGGAGTGTCATCATGCAGCCATGGATCATTGGCATCACCAACCTGCAGATGGAAAATAACTCATCATCATGTGTGCTGATATATAGGGCTTATATAATAATCATTCACATCAAGGTGAACGAGTTCCTCTCTCTTTGTTCTGGAGTACAATGTACCCTGGAAAGTGTGCAAAGCATTATCCTTCATTTCAGATGGTTCCATTAAATCATCACCTTTGATATTGTTGACATTAAAAACATATGCAAGATCTGTCACTGGCCATCTGTAAGGGATTTATAAGAGATGAGAGAAATATAAAGTGTGTTTCCATCTACAGCACAGGTCTAAAAACGTATTTTTTGTAACAATCTTCCTATTAATAAGATTAAAGGTATTTTAGGACATTCATAACATACCTAATTTATAATGAACCACATTTTTGTTACAAATAATTTGTTTATTTAAAATAAATATTTAATATGAGTGGTGCCTCACTTGTGCAAAACTCAAATCCTCAATGTTGTGGGTGTTTGCTAGGGTGTTGCTATGCAGTTGCTATAGTTCTGTGTGGTTTTAGCACTATTTTGGGTGGTTGCTAGGGTGTTGGTATGCTGTTGCTACAGTTCAATGTGATTTTAGCACTATGCTTGTTGTTCTAGATGGTTGCTAAAACATTGCTATGTGGTTGCTAATATTCTGCCTGATTTTTTGCACTATATTTGACGTTCTATATGGTTGCTAGGGTGTTTCTATTCGGTTTCTACGGTTCTGTGTGGTTTTTAGCAGTTTGATTGGGGGTCTAGGTGTTGCTATGACATTGTATTGCTGTTTCTAATGTTCTGTGTGGTTTTTATCATTATACTTGGTTATCTAGGTGGTTGTTAGGGTGTTGCAAATATTCTGTGTTTTTAGCATTATGCTTGACAAGCTAGGTGGTTGTTAGGGTGTTGCTTTGTAGCTGCTAAGGTCCTGTGGTTTTTGGCAATGTGCTTGGTAATAGGTGGTTGTTAGGGTGTTGCTTTGTAGCTGCTAAGGTCCTGTGGTTTTTGGCAATGTGCTTGGTAATAGGTGGTTGTTAGGGTGTTGCTTTGCAGCTTCACTATGCTTGGCGATCTAGGAGGTTGTTAGGGTGTTGCTATGTTGTTATGTGGTTGTTGAGGCTCTGTGAGGTTTTTAGCATTGTACTTGATGTTCTAAGTGCTTGTTGGCGTGTTGCTTTGCAGCTGCTAATATCCTGTGGTTGTTAGCACTATGTGCTTGGTGATGTAGGTGGATGTTAGGGTGTTGCCATGTTGTTATGTGGTTGTTGAGGTTCTTAGCATTGTAGTTGATGTTCTAGGTGGTTGCTAGGATGTTGATAGATAGATGATTGATAGGAGTTTGGGAAAAGTAAACATTCCTCAACAAGCTGCACAATTTGAAGCATCATTCATGTCTGTGACACTTTAAATATACAAAATCCTATTAGCACATTGCTACGCAATTACTAAGGTGTACTAGGTGGTTGGTATAAGGAATTCTGGGTAGACGCTAGGTGGTTACTTACTTACCCCAAGTAAAAACAGCCCATTTTCCAATTCTTTATGATATTCTGGGATGAGGTTTTTTTTTTTTACTTTGTTTTAGCATCTACCAGACTATGAAGCTAAAATTATAAGTACAATCATTTAGAAAAGACACATGTATCCAACAAACCCCACAATTTAAGTTGTCGCCCACTATAGCAACGTAGATTTTAAAAAGTAGTTTTCTCTTCTTCCTTAATGAGCTACATCTTGACATTTGATCTTATCTGGCAAATTTGTCAGCACGACACATTTGGGTTCACTCTGCTACTCTGGGTTGTAAAGTTTGTAAAGTGTGCTAATGTGTGCACCTCAGGAACACTGACCCTGAAAGAGCTGCTGATCTAAACTGCACAAGGGTCAAGCACCAAGCTTTGCCAAGTTTCTGCTTGCATGTGTCAAACCCCTAAGAAGTCAGAGAAAACCACTTGACTAGAATGTTAACAATCCAATGAGAGTTATGTGTGGATTTTTCCACCATATGTGAAAATGCAGGCCCACCTGTGCTGCACAAAACCAGTATGCAAGACTTTCTCTGTGGTATTTCTTCAATTTTGTCAAATGCAAGTCTTTATCTAGGTGGGAAGTGGCCATGGCAAATATTTTGCAATTGGGCTGTGGAAAATACAACAGAGAGCCAACAGCCTTCCCCAACAAGAAGTCTTTTCATACCAAATATGTATACAGCTGAGGATCCCGAAAACAATCCCCGCAATAAATGCCAAGGGAATAGCCAGAAACATGGTGAGGATCCGGTAGAAGACGTATTTCACCAGCTCGAACACAGCATGACTGCTGATCCACACTTTGTCAAAGCTGTGCGTGGAGATCGGCTCAGCAATGATGTCTTCAAAACCAACCTGTGGAATCAAACATAAAATATGAAAATCAATAGTGCACAAACTCAACTACTAAATTAGTCCAAATTTATAAAATGAAAAAAAAAATGTCAAACTTATATTTTAACTACACACCTATAAAGACCAAAAGATCAGTGTTGCTGAAAGTCTAGGTAACACTTTATGTTGATGGTCCCTTTGGAACATTCTGTTGACTATAAGTAACTTTGCAACTACATGTCAACTAGCTAACTCTCATTAGAGTTTTAGACTGTCTGCTAACCCTTTATTGTAATGGTCCTCTAACAGACATACTACTGACTATAAGTAACTTTGCAACTACATGTCAACTTATTCTAATCCTACAAGTCTACTAATACTCTACTAACACTCCAATGAGAGTTAGTAGGTGCAACGTTACTTATAGTCAACAGAATGTGTTGAAAGGACCATCAAAATAAAGTGAAACCAGTCTATTTTATTTCTATATTAATGAGGCTACTGTAGGCTATGCAAAACAATCATGCCAATAAAAAAATATTATTACTGCGCATGTGCAATTACACTTATTCAAATAGAATAGACTCATTCTGAAAAACATGAATGCACGTGATGGCGATAAGTGAAAAAAACTTCGCTTAATACCGTAAGAAACACGTTATCAACTCTTATATCAACGATGTTTGGCACCAAAGTTTAGCATATTAATAAAATAAGTGATAGTAAAATATCTCGCATTAAGTTGTCACCTACCTTTAAGTGCGAGTTAATATCTTTAGGATCTCTGTCCGGGACCTCTGAATACACTTTCGTTTTTTTTGCAAGTATAGGTTCAATCGATCTATTGAATTCATCCTCATCCATAATGACACTGGTCTCCGATTTTTCTTTTTCAAGTCCCATTTTTTTTTGTTTTGGAGGTGCGAGGCGCGCTGCTGTCTGTCGCGCCTGCTGTACGCGCACTGTGCGCTCGAGGCAGGACGCGTCCACGCCCCTCACGGAAGACGCGTTCACGCGCAGACAAAACACACAAACGGCGCTCATTCACTGCTCCAGACAAATGTGGAACAACGATAAGGAACCTTTTTAGGAATACATCCCTGTCTAGTCGTCCTTATCTCAAAACATTGTTAATTGAAACAGAATTCAAGGAATGTTAACAGATTGTTATTTCCTCTAGTAGCCCAGCCTATACTGTAGGTCGCTATTTTTTCGTCAACCGTTCATTCATTCATTCATATTAAGTTTTAAAACTTTGGGGCATTGCTAAATGTTTATCTCCCTCAGTTTTGCTCTTCATTAATCATTAAGCTTCACTGGATTCTTGGAGGAGACATTTTTATTTACACATAGTAGGCTATACCTAAAAGTTCTTTATTGTCCTGAAGAATCCTTTTAAGCCGAACTGTCAAAAATCCATTGAAAGCAACATTGATTTTCTGGAGCTCAGCCATCTAACAGACCGTCAACACACAATTATTGATTTTATGCATAAACTGTACTGTTTTAAAACCAAGTGTAGCCTACTACCTTAGAAGGCAGTATTTTTTTTAGATTTCAGACACAGTCTTAACTTCAGCCAATAGGCTGCTCTCCATATTTTTTACACTTGAAACTGCAGTGATTGCTTTGCTATTTGACTTTTTTTAAAGGGACAGTTCACCCAAAAATGTGCATGTTGTCATCAAAAACCTGCCTTTCTTTGTGTAAAATGTCAGGGTGATGGACCTGCCCTGATACCATATAATGAAAAAAAGCATATATTTTTTAATTCTTGAAACCTTTTTGCATAGTCGTTTAAAATGTCTGGTATTAAAATAATATTTTAACTAAAAAATGTTGCCCTTATTTTTTTTCTGCCAAATCAAAGTCATGTGGTGCAACCAACATGTATAAAAAAAGAGAAGAAAGAAAAAAAAAAACAGGAAATGATAAAGACCCTCATTAGTGTGTCAATAAGAGTATTCAAATATCAGATAAATTGACCTAACAAAATGTCCTAGCTGTTCTTTTCCACTATTAAAGTGGATGGTGACCAGCTTGATCATTCTGCTAAACATGTATAGCCCTAACACTTTGTTTTCATAATTCTTACCAAATGTCTGCATATAATGTTTATCTATATCCAGAAGGAATGGAGGGAGTTTCACTGGAACTAATACACACATAAACAACAAACTCATTGTGTTGTAACAGTCGGGAGGAAAAAGGGGAGAGGCCGTGGCGGCTCATGACAGCAGAGCAAAAGCACAACAGTGGGAGTGAAAAGCACATTCTACCCACATGGACACGCACAATACAGGCCATAATCCCTATGGATAAACACACAGCTGATTTCCAACAGCAAAACAACGTGTGTGATTGAAGCGGGGAACTTTGTCAGCATCATGATTCATGAAGGGTGTATTCTATTTTTATCGATTTTTTGGTCCAAATAAAAATGTGAAACAGAGCAATCAGACTTCACTGCTAAACTCTTCAATGAATGTATCAAGTACTATAATCTGTGATGAAGGGTTTGGCAGGCAAGTCTGATTGATCTATTCAGGAGCAATCTTTTACAGTCATAATTACTTAAGTTTCAACAGTTTTCCCCTTGAGGATACGGGACCAGCCCAACAAGCTAAGCAATAATCAAACCAATATTTCATTTTCATGACAACTTAGCAGGTGAATGACAGCTTTCTTATAAGGTTGCATGAAACGAGTCAAATTTAATAGGTAATTAGCAATCACTCTTAAAAAAAAGGGTTCCTCTGGGTTCTATATAGAACCCTGGGGTTCCATACTTGGCCAATAGAACCCTTTACCGACAAAATGGTTCTATGTAGAACCCTTGGAGAGCAAAGAACCTTTTTTATTAAAATGGTTCTATAATTCATGTTTTATGACTGAAGTGTAAACTAAAGATTCACGTTACACAATAATTATACACAACACATTCACAAAGCTTTTTGAGTCAAGAAGACCCATGAGAATGACTAGTCAAAAACCAGAGTTAACAAAATGTTAATATCTAGTCAATGTATGATTTGAGATTTCTTTATGCACGTTTGTACATTAGCATGAAACTTATATTTCCTAATACATTATAGTTTGCCTTTTTGACCAATCATTTTGTAATAAAACATTATAGGCCTAATAATAAACTAACAAAGTGTTTTCTTTATTTTGTGTACCATATAGTTATGGATTTAATCTATCGAAGGGAACATTAAAAATAATAATCGTAAAAATGCCCTCTGGTGGCGTATATGCGTTGCATCATCCTTGAATTCCTATTGGTGGATTGGCGAAGATGAACAATAGTAACCGACTGCAGAACCGCAGAACCATACGTCATAGCAGTGTGAGGACGACAGCGCCAGCCTAACCGTCTGATGCCGGAAGTGGGCGTGGCCAGGCATTGCGCTACTTCTGTGTTTTAGAAAGTTTAAAACAATGCTATTATGAATATATTTTTTAACGATTTCATTCAAAATATATATTTAAGAGATAGGCCTATATATATATATATATATATATATATATATATATATATATCAATCAAATATTATAAAATATAATATTTATAAAATTATAAAGTATAATAACTATGTTTTGTCCTATTAACAAAAGACAGGCAATGTAGCCTATTAACAAATGTTAATAGTGTTTTTTAAGTTAAAATGATACTTTATGCATCTGTTTTGTGTCAAATGATTAACAATATAAATTGAACAAAGCTTAAAACAAACAAAATAATAAAACGAAAACAAAGCTTGAGCATTTGAACATTTGATTTAATTGAAAAGCATTTTTTAAATAAAATGAGTTTTTCCCCCTCTGAAATAGCAAAAGCATCACACACTAGCTGTACCTGCTCCAAATAAATAATAGTAATTAAATCAAAATATAAAATCAAAATAAATCAAATAAATAAATTATATAAAACAAAATCAAACCAAAGAAAATAAATCTTATTAAAGTTATGCAGGCACACATTTAACAATAATTCTCAAGTGACAAATAAACTAAATAGATCAAAACTCCATACACATGGAGTTAATCCTGATGATTCCTGAGGCGCCTTTCGTCATGACACTCGCTTTTATTTTCTTTGGTTTGATTTTGTTTTTTATAATTTATTTTATTTAGTTCGATTTTTATTTTTTATTTAATTACTATTATTTAGCTATTTAGAGCAGGTACATCTGTTTGTGATGCTTTTGCCATTTCAGAGGAAAAAAATAATTGCATTTAATTAATCATTTTTGTTTCAGTCCACCATAGAATTATGTGGTTTGGTCTATGAAAAAAAATTGTTAGTTGTGAAATGGTTGAGTATTAACAAAATAGTTTTTTAAAAGTTAAAATTATACTTTATCCATTTGTTGTGTCAAATGATTAACAATATAAATTGAATAAAGCTTTAAACAAAAATAATAATACAATTAAAACAAAGCTTGAACATTTGATTGAATTGAAAAGCATTTTTAATAGTAGTATATTGTCTTTTGTTAATAGGACAAATAATTATTATATTTTATAATATTTGATATATATATATATATATATATATATACAGGTGAAACTCGAAAAATTCGAATATCGTGCAAAAGTTATTATTTTGATAATCATGGCTTACAGATTATGAAAACCCCGAATTTAAAATCTCAGAAAATTAGAATATTACATGAAATCAATACAAAAAAGGATTTTAAATACAGAAATGTCGGCCCTCTGAAAAGTATAATCATGCATATGTATATATATATATATATATATATATATACTAAATATATTAGTTTCACCTTTTAATTTGAATTACTGAATTACATGAACTTTTGCACAATATTCTAATTTTTCGAGTTTCACCTGTATACACACAACTATATATATATATATACACATCTTAAACATATCTTTAATTAAATCGTTTAAACAAATATTTATAATAGCATTGTTTTAAACTTTGAAACGTTCTAAAACACAGAAGTAGCACAATGCCTAGCCACGCCCACTTCCGGCATCAGACGGTTAGGCTGGCGCTGTCATCCTCACACTGCTATGACGTATGGTTCTGCGGTTCTGCAGTCGGACCTATCTCAAGATGGCTGGTGCCAAGATGGCCGAGTGAGTAGACGCTTTCTACCGAGCTCTGCAAACGAAAGTTTTGGAAACGGTAAAACTCTATTTTTTGTCTCGCCACGCACTAAGTTTTATTCTCTTAAATACTACACTAATCGAAAAACGAACTTTTGAGCAATGTCAAACCAACGCGAAAGGAAAAGAGGCAAAGAGAGCGCCGGACGGAAGCTAATTCCAGATGATAGCAATGCTGCTACTTCTAAGGCTGGCAATGTTCTAGTTGACAGTTGTCACGATTATTCCTCCGCTTCCCTTCCTCTCCCTACTGCGGAAAACTTCATGGAAGAATTTCCACTGCTGCCTATTACTCCCAGTAAGTCACCTGTTTCGAAGAAAATGATGTGCACAGTCGGGTCTGAACATGCTAACGCTAGCGATATCGTAGCCAGCCTCTCAACCCTAATAAATACGCGGTCAGACAGCATTGAAAGCATGGTCAGTGCCAATGCACTTAAAATCGAAGGACTTAAAAAGACAATTGACTTTGTATGTGCTGAAGTTAAGGATGTAAAGAGCAAAGTGTGTACACTCGAGGTGAAAATGGCGAGAGAAGAGAAACGAGTAGACGCATGTCAGCAAAGGGTCTCGGAGTTAGAAAGATATGCTAGGAGATGGAACCTTAGACTTTACGGAGTTGATGAAATAGAAAAGGAAAACATACGGAGGAAGGCCATCGAGATCTGTCAGGCTGTTTTGCCTGAGGAAAAGAACAGGCTGGCTGATACTATCGACACTGTACATCGGCTCGGCAATAAGCGGCAGAATGACCACAGACCCAGAGGCATCATCATCCAGTTCATCGCACGTGTCTGCAGAGATGCCGTGTGGAAAGCTGCCAAGACATC